GAGATGGAAATGGCCGCTGCCGTTGGTAACCATCATAAGTTATTCCGTCTGATGCGGGGAACGAGCAACAGGAGACCTGGTGTTAGTGAAGCTATACGTGACAACAGTGGACAGCCTATTCACAACTTATCAAAAGCTTAGAGCGTTGGGCTGAGCACTTTAAATGGCCATTTAATGGGTCAGAATTGTTTGATTTCTCGCCGGCCACTGATCGCCCCGCTCCCTGGGCTGTCCATTTGGATCCACCCTCTCGCTTAGAAGTCAAACGTGAGATCGAACTGTTGAAGTCAACTAAAACCGCGGGACCAGGTGATCTTCCTCCAGCCCTCTTCAAATTCGGGGGACCTGCTCTTGTGGATGATTTATACGAGTTACTAGTGAAACTGTGGGAGCAGGAAACTGTCCCAACCGGTTGGAGCCGCTCCATCATAGTCCCAAGTTTCAAGGGATGCTCACGAGCGGAATGTGGCAGCCATAGAGGAAACAGTCTGATCTCCATCGCCTCCAAATTACTTGCCTCTGTCATCCTTCCCAGACTGACTGGAACTTGTGATGGCCAGATTCGTGAAGAGCAAGCTGTAATTCGTCGAGGTTGTGACTGCATCGACCACATCTTCATCTTGTGTCAGTTGTTGGAGCACCGTCACATATATTTTCGGCCAACCGTTGTCGTGTTCCTCGATATCAAAGTTGCCTTCGATTCGGTGGATAGACATGCACTTTGGGACTGTCTGCTCAGGAAGGGTGTACCTGAGAAATATGTGAATATTATCCGAGTATTATATGCGTGTGGCTCGGGCAGCGTGAGGGCTTACAGCAAGTTGTCGTCGCCTTTTAATATCTCCGGCGGCGTGAGACAAGGATGCCCGCTGTCACCTTTCCTCTTCAACTTCGCTATTGACGAAGTCATGGAAATCGCGTTCACAGGACACGATTTGGAAGGTGTGGATCTGCTCCCAGGAGAACGACTTCTTGACTTGGAGTATGCCGATGATATTGCCCTAATCTGTGACAGCTTACAAACGTGTTAAGCGGCACTGGACAGATTAGCACTAGCTGTCCGTCACTTCGGGTTTTGCTACGCACCCTCGAAGTGCAAAGCTTTCCTCCAAGCTTGGTCTGGACCGCCTCCTACACTGACCGTTGGTGTGTATTAGCTAGAAGTCGCTCAAAAATTCAACTACCTGGGTAGTTGTATCAGCGCCCGTGGGATTGAGGATGAGATCACGAATCGTATAGCAAAAGCTCAGGGCGCTTTTCCTAACCTTCGGTACTTATGGCGCCGGCGCGACGTCACTCTTGCCCTGAAGGGTAGAGTGTACAATGCAGCGGTACGTTCGACCCTACTGTACGGTTGTGAAACCTGGTGCCTTAAAGCAGCGGACCTGAAGAGGTTAGTTAGGTTCGACCACCGGTGCCTTCGCAATTTAGCCCATATCTGGTGGGAACACCGTGTGAGCAGCGAGCGTGTTCGACGCCTTGTTTACGGCACAGGAAAAAGAAATGAACCGCTCAGCACCGTTATTTCACGCACCAGGCTCCGATGGGTGGGCCACGTGTTACGCTGCCAACCCACCGACTCCCGCGACGTGCGTTGTTTGCGCGCCGGGTGTGTGGATGAAAGAAGAGGAGAGGTGGCCAAGCGATGACTTGGTCTAGAGGAATGAAGGCCCTCACTTCTGAGCTGGCCTCGGTTGGAGCCTCTCGGCTCCCTGGTTGGGGTCCGAAAGACGATGAACACGTTTGGTTGGACACACTTGCTGATACCACTAGGAGCCGACCTGGGTGGCGTTCGTGCTGTGAGTTTCTTTGTCCCACCCCATCCTTCTTAGCCTCCCCCTCCAACCACGATCTCATTATTTAGCCTTATATAATTTTGCATGGTTATTTTTTTGATGCATAGTGGCCAGCTGGTAGCTTACTGGAACGATGCCCATCCGTTACCGGTAGCTCAGCCGGCTTGCACCAGTTGCTTTTTTTCTCCTTTTTCTGTGTATTGCGGCACAGTGTCTGAGGTGTTCTCCACCTCTAGATAACGTGTATGATGATGATGATGAGGATGATGATGGTGATTGGACAGCTCGGTCAAAATGCCGAGATGACGGCTGATATAGACTTGAGGATCAATCGATAGGTTCCATCTGGCCCGCTAGGTTTCGTCCCACAAACACTTACTAGCAGCTTGCGTGCGTCTTCAGTGCTCCAACCCAGGCTCTCAAGTACAGTAGGGATGGTACGCGTGGAACTCGGTACAGACACCTGGTCACTTGCAAATACGCAAGCGAATTGCGCCGCCAATGGGGACGCAGGATCTGTGTTCGTGGTTAGGGGCTGTCCATCTGAACCCTCCAACAATGGCAAATTGTCTGCAGGCCTCAAGCACCGCTTTTTGTAGGCCAAGATGCTCTTGGGAGCAGTCTTTGCTGCGGCTGCAAGCTGCTCTTCAAACATTCGACACTTTCGTGTTTTGGCGTTGTTGCAGAGATTTTGCTGTCTGTTGTACGCCCCGTAATCGTCGTCAGGGCCAGACAACACGGATTTGTTCCACAGTCTGCATCACCGTCGAGCTAGTTTACTGTGCTCCTTGTAGAACCAACATGGCTTGACTGGTTCAACTTTCCAATACTTGAGGGTTACAAATCGCGCGCACAAAAATTTCATTCCCTCTTTAATGATAGTCCAACGGGTTTCAACAGATGATTCCTTTGATAACGACCAGTCCATCTGACCTGCTTCTCGAGTGAGCCAATTAAAGTCCGCCTTCCAATAGTTATAAGATGCCTATAGTGGAGAAGGGTACGGCAGCTGATTATTATCCCCCAGTGGTCACTCGCTCTCAGGGACACCAAGACCGGCTGTATGTCATGCACACATTGTTCACAACTAGTCAAGAGCAGGTTTAATCACTGTGGACTAGCGCACCGTTATGCGCGTCGGCTGGTTTATTTGCTGTGTGGCCACATTTTCAAATATCATCTTCACGAACTTCCTGTCAACTTTACAATGGCCGTGCAGAAGTTCTGCCTCAGGCCATTGTATTCGAGGCAAGTTGAAATCGCCCATGAGCAGGAAGAGCGAACGACTGACGTGGTTGCGAACATGCGGCAACCTGTCCAAGCAGCGGCTTAGGACTAAGATAAACCAGAAGTAAAGGGCTTCTCAAGTAGAGATTAGGTGTTACCCGTCCAGCTTGTTACGCAATCTTCAACTGTGAACAGCTGAGTTGTCATTGAAAGTGTTGAATTATCAAACGGTGTGTCTAGTGGGAAAGAAATTACACTCGGCGCTCCGAGTGGGTAACAGGAGGGGTGAGCGAGCGAACCATTATGACGGGAGGATATGTAAGGCGAACGTGCTTTGCAATCACATGTTGCTCACGTCCGCTTCTTAAGGTGGAGGGTCAATTACCTGTTGCTAACTACTTCATGGCGGTGTTGGAAATATAAGCTAAAAAATGAATAATCTATAGATGCGTTCGATGCAATCCCAGCACAGGCTATAAGGCTATTTGCTACCTGAGCTAAGAGATACAAATTGGTAAGCACACGGGAAATACTTGGAGATGGGGCAATTTGTCTAATACTCCTTGAAGGATGTAAATATATTACTGTATGGCAGACAACTCATCTTGTTAAGCTCACACCAGTATGAAAAACCGCAAGCTTTTCTAACAGGTCACTTATGAGCGTGGTCAGTCTTGAACACTGGTTGCTTGCAGTTATGGCAGCACCTACAGAATAAATCTAACCATGTTCCACAGACAAAGGATGTAAAAACTGAGAGTCCCATTTGGACCTCGGAACTGCAATGTACCCACTGGAAGGAACGCACAGTAGAGTGCCCCACGCTAGACCTTATTGCACAATCGGAAAGTTGATTGCTGTTGGCTATCTGGCCGACTTATAGCACTTATTTTTGAGTAAGGTTTGCATTCTATTCACCCACTGCTGTGTTCCAAAGGAACCGAACTTGAACTCGCGCACCAACTGGCAGTGGCAGCGCATTGCGTCAACTGAGGGCACCCCCACTAACGGCCACAGCGGAACGCAGCAAGTGACATTTTATCGTCCAAACAAGCATCTACGTGCTACCAGTAGCTCCGGCGCGGTCCATCTGCCAGTTGGCGCGCTATCGTAAAGGTTCGGTCTCTTGTTGAACTCAGTACTGTATCTATTTTATCTATTTTATCGACGTTATAAATCACCAATGATTGATATCCATTTACGGGGATCGTGACTCGAGGTTCGTATGCAACCTACACCTTGACTAGTGATTCGTAGCAATGTTGAGCAAATTTATGTATGTTTTTGACGGCCCTCTCATGGATTGGTTGCTTACGTCGACTTGCAAATCGCTTATGCCATCATCATGTATACTTAGTGGGTATAATCAATTGAAGCACATCTGTCACCACGTGGTTAATGTTCACAAGCTGTTGCCAACTTTCGGTCATATTTTGCTTTGCTTCTGTTCTCATGATCGTTTAATCGCTTTACCATATGTGGTTGTCACCTCTGGGTAGTTCAAGATGCACCTCAGTTAGTTGCAATTTCGGCACACGAGCCACCAACAGGAGCCGTTTTGAACCATAATACAGTCAAAGCTGTGTAAGGTGACCACCCAGGGTACCGAAAATAGGTGGTCATCATGGACAGGTGGTCGCCATAGGCAGGTTCATGCATGGGGAAATTAATCATAGGAGCAAACATTGGGGAAGTTTATGGCTAGTCGCTATAGACGGGTGGTTTCCATAGCAGGTTAGACTGTAATCTAGGGCAGTTCACTATCTCCTTTCTAAAGCAACGTGACCATATAGGTTCCTACTTTTACTAAGGGACTTACCGTCTGAAGGCTCCCGTGGTTTTCGTTTCTTCACTAGCTGGCAATAAAATAGGCAACTTTACCTAACGCTTATATTATTTGTGCAGAGCAGTTGAGACCGAACTGTCTTCAAAAAGTGAACTTATTCTATCCGACAAAGCTCACTGACTAATTTACAGTTTTTCTTCCCTCAGGACCCTGAAGCAACAGACCTGTATATGCGATGGAGCCTTCAAGATGTTCCTTTTCTCTTTTTATTTGATGATCCGACACGCATTGAGCGATTCTTTCACACTATCCGCCTTCGTGACATGTGGGATGCCACGTTTGACATTATCACAATCCCCTTGACCAATGTGTTCCGATCGTCTCAAAGTGAGTTCCAGTCGCTCGTTTCATGCACTGTTCGTCCACAATGAATTTTGAGTGACAAGGGTTTCCCCTAACTACTGGATTAATTTTCCACACATATATTCTTCAGATTTTCCTTTCCTGGAACTGACGTTGTACGATGTGAAGTATCCAAAATATTTTGGAGACTTTGTATCACATCTACCGGATTTGGCATTAAAAAACAAGGGCACATTGATTGCCAGCACAAACCAACTCACGATTCATGCAGGCAGCCGTCTGCCCAATTACATTGTTTCCACGCAGTGGGCTAATAAGGAAGATTTTCAGCATTATCTCAAAGAGAGTAAGTGTTACGCTTCATGTGCTTCTGTAATTTGAGGTGACGACATTTGAATATGCAATGGTTCGGCTTACATCCAAAAATACTGTTGAAGACAAGGTAGCTCCGTAGCTGCAGTGCCTGTACTCACAATGATTATACGTCGCCTCAACACGCAGTCCCGGGCCTGTTGAGACTTCACCTTGCAACAAAAATAAACAATACGCTTGTTTTCTATGAGCTTACTTGCCAAGTACCCAGAGAATTTCCGACCGCTGTCATTTGGGTTGCTACTAGCAGCTAATATTAATCCGTAGCAATGGAACAATAAACCATGATTTTATACGGGTTAAGAAGCAGTGCTTTACAAGCCACGTTGGGTGGTCTGGTGGGTTAGCGAAAAATGTTACTGAAAAATGCAGTTAGTAGTGTTACTGTCCAAATAATGGACTTATCGTTTTTTGATGCAGGAGCCCTGCACTCCAAGTATTTCCATAGGTTCAGTAGGCGGAAACATTAAATCCGAGATATTTTCCGGGAGTAACGTAGAGAATAGCGTCAATTAACAAAATGTAAGTGGCGGCGTGCGTCATCCAACCGAGTTTTAAATATGGCTAGCATGGGTAGTGAAACAACAGATTCGAGGGAGAGCGTTCCATGGTTGATACACACGAATGTACAAGTAGTTTCTACGGCACGCCTGGCGTCTGCATTGTGCTGCCAATTTCAAGGATTGGCCTTTAGGTTTGGTGTTAATACTGAGTTGCAGTAAAGGGCGGCACACATGGTTTGGATTGTATAAAACCAAATACGCCATAATCAAGTTGCCTTGTTGTCGACGCCGCCGCTCATCGAATACTGTCAAACGTTTCACCCTCTGCTCGTACGGAAGGTAGCACATTCCAATGACGTATTTAGAAGCCGGACGTTGAGGTTGGTCCAGTGCAGTAAGGTCGTGCTTCAGTCATGACTGCCAGGCTTGGATTGCGTGTTCCAGATAGGGCGAACATACGCATTCATCATCTGTCGGACGGTAGTGGAGTCTAGTTGTCCGAAAGCCCGTCGTAGCAAGTCGACGTGCTGGTTACCAGTTTTCGAGGCTTTTGCGGATTGGTTGGAACAACCCAAGTTATCCTGGATAAGCACGCCAAGGTCGCATTCGACGGATGACCACTGCAGTACTTGCATTCCTAGCTTGTAAGAATAGGTATTCTGGTGTCGTATGGAGAGTACTTTGCAGTTGTGCACGTTGAACTGTACCAGACTTTGGGTTGGCAAACCATACATCGTATCTATATCACAGTGAAGTAAATGCTGATGGACCTCCTGAATTCGGCGCCATATACTGATATCGTCAGTAAAAAGCAGGCAATTTGAAGCGATAATCCGTGCAACGTCATTGATGCATACCAAAAACAACCGTGGACCTAGAACTGAGGTCTTGGGCACACCAGACTCGACTGGTATGGGTTCGGATATGGAGCTCCGGACTCTCACCACTAATTGTCGTTGCAGGAGAAAGTTATTGCTTCAGGTGAGGAGAGGGTCATGGCTTCCGTAGTATAGCAGTTTTGGAAGGCGAATCCGATGATCTAAACGATCGAACGCCTTTGACAAATCCGTAGATCACATTACCGACCTCTTCTGCGTTTGCTGACTAAGTTCAATAGCGCGTCGCGATCAATAAATTCGTCGTGCAGGATCGCTGTCGAAGAAAGCCGTGATGCCCTTGAGCAATGATATTACAGTTTGCTGGATAACCCAGTAACGCATCGGCAACGATCCATTCCATGATGTTTGATAATAAATGGAGAGGGTACCCTGGGCGGCAGTTTGCGAGCTCAGTCCTGCTTCTGCCTTTGTGATTCGGAATGATTATTCCACTTCTACATCGCAAGCACCTGATTCTGGTCTAAGCAGCGCTGAAAGAACTGTGCCAAAGATTTTGCCAGTTGTCTTGTCGGGGCTCTCAGTGTCTCTGGGCGACTGTTGCCGAATCCCGGGGCGTTGTGGTTGCTCAAAGACGTCAGCTTCGCAAAACAACTTCAGCAGTAAAGCACTTTGGGTGAGTCCTGTAGGCAGGAAAATAAAAGTTGAAGATGTCCTGATGGTAAGACCCTCTGAAATGTGGGGTCATATTGCGTCCGCAACGTGTTTGCTGCTTCTATGGCTGTCCTAGTTGTACCATCAGTAGTTCGGAGCAGAAGAATTCCCTGTCTCTCCTTACGACGTCCATTGAAATACTTGTACAGCAGTTTGTGGTTAGCGCTGAATGTTTTCTTCCAAATTCTGCTGATGTACGATTTGGTCATTTCTGAGTAGTTGAGTGCAGTAGTTACGATGGGCTACGTAGTTGGTGATGATCTGCACTCTCGCCAGGCTGCATTGCGTATAGTCATCTGTGTACAAGTGTTGCTCCTCACGAAAGAAACGGTTTTGAGCCCATTGAAATCCCTTGTATCTAAGGCATCCGTAACCAGTTGATTGAATTTGCTGAAGAATTCAAGTCAAGCGACTTCCGGGTGACCTTCAAGGAGGATCGGACAGGTTTTGGCACTGAGGAGCTGGGCTAAGCGGTCGTAGCGCGTAATGGTGTGTAGCAAATCAGAGTTCGGGTTGCGGTATTCCACATAGCACATGAAGTCGAAACTGATGAGTGCATGATCACTACGACCCCGAGGGCGTGCTACGATCAATATATGAATCATATGTTCCTTGTTGGTGAACACAAGATTCAGCAAAGAAAGTCTATTACCAGTTATGAAACGAGTGGGCGTAATGACATGATTATAAAATGGAACACTGGTTATAAGCTCTTGCAAATCTGCTCGGAATGGCTCTCCGATTGTAGCAGGAGCTTCTAAACAGTGTACGTTGAAATCACCCATGATAAGGATATGAGTGTTTATTTGCTCGAGGTTGCATTTAATACTTTCGCAAGTTGGCAATCCGTTTCCGGTGTAGAGTTTGGGGTCGGTATGCCAAAGCTATAATGCAGGTGTCTCTGCCATGTATTTACAGGCTGCAGCAACGAGAATCAGCGAACTGTATTTTTTGATTCTCAGTTGTATCCTAACAATTGTGAAGCACCTCTGAGTACTACTGTTATTAGATTAGTTGATAGAGTTTAGACGAACTCACTTGCTGGTCTTCCATTTTTCAGGTTTTAATTGGGTTGGCCCCCATTTCTGTATAGTCGGATCTTTGATATCTCTACTCTCTCTTCTTTAGGCTTTTGAACCAAAAGACCGTAGTTTTTCTTCTGAGCTGCCTGGCAGTATCCTAGTCATGTCATGACTATGGTTGTTTCTAAAAAATAATTGGTTTTGAGGGACTTCGAGGGAGAATGTCTTCCGGGTTCTCTCTATTTGTATATCCTGACTTAGGACGAAACTGGAGGTACAGCGAATACTCAAGCTTGGAAATTATCCAACTACACACATATATTTATTATCCTGGTTAATTGTTGTTTGCTTTTCCAAAAGCCGTTTGGTGAACGAAGGACACCACCATAAGTGAATACAAATGTTTACCATCAATCAACACAAGACGACGTGTTGCTCGGTCTATTTCAGCTTTCCTACCAAAAGAGGTGACACTTCTGCACATCCACAGAGCACCAGACATTAGATATTTCCACTGTCACAACGACGCTCAGGTGTCCCTGAAATGCGTTAGTTTTAAACCGAAAGGCTTGTTTACACGCAGGTCACTCTTCCTCACACTATTATATTGCATTGTAATTTTTTATTCATTTTAATTATGCAACATATGACTGCCACTGTAAGGCGGTAGGAGCGGCAGAACTTTCCCATGTGTTAGTTTGAAGCATAAACTCTCCTTGTAGCTGCATATCATATTAGTAGGAGTAACTGTGCATGTTTTTATCACGACCGAACTCACAGAATAAGGATTCTCAGAATACGTTTTCCACGACTAGCACAGACTCAGACAACCTCACCAGTATCATACTGCCGTGTTATGCACCGATGTAAGGATATATATATATATATATCTATATATATATATATATATATATATATATATATATATATATATATATATATATATATATATATATATATATATATGGTTGGCGGCATCCGGTTTCGGATTTGCCTGTCCCTGTGGCCAGCCACAGGACGCCTGCGCCTACAGAAGGACCATGGGTGGCTTGCGCTGCAGCACCCACAGTCCCATCCGCGCACCCCTTATCCAGTATAAACCCGAAGGAATAAGACCGGAGGCATGTGAATGGAAACCGCGTTTCATCAACGGAGCCGGCCCACACTACATCACAGGCAAACACGAGCACGCTGTATTTGGGGAATCAAGCGCACACAATGCGGTGGCTGGACCGTAGTCCGCTCCAAACTGAGTGCATGGAACCACTCTTTGATACTAACACGGCCATAAGCACCGTGCACCCCGTCCCCTTCAGCAACCACCAACAGTCTCCTGGAGCCAGTATGGACGAGGTAGTGGGTAATAGACAGTTAGGCACCTTGTCAACATGCACATCAAGCGCAACCACACCGGGGATATCAAGCAACAGCCAACCAGCTGAAACGACAAGATGAAATAAAATACATCCAATAATGCATACAGATACGGTGTCATAACTCTTCGCTAAATTAGCATATGAAGTAAGTTGGGTAGCAACGGATTCGCGATAAATAACTAATGTCCACAAGTACTTAAAAATGCTACAAACACAACAAAGGTACCGAAGATAAGTGTAATTGACGTAAGCAACGTGACTAGTTAATAGCAGATTATTCAAGTAGGCCGAACAAACCAAACAAAGTGGAATGAAATTTATCCAGTTTAAAAATGCCTAGTTTAAGTGTAAGTTGGTTTAGCCAAACTGCGGTGAAGAAGCATCAAGGATGCAACATCAGCCTCAGCATAGGACATATATATATATATATATATATATATATATATATATATATATATATATATATATATATATATATATATATATATATATATAGCAGTCTATACATATTCATTGAGTCATC